TCTGTTTGAAAAGGTGATAACTTGAAGAGCATCCCTTTTTTTTTTTTTTTTTTTTTTTTGATGTCTGTCTCGTCTAGTTGGCCGGGTCTCACCCAGGTTTTTGTTTTTTTTGTCTTTTTTTTGGGGAATCTCTCCCAAGTTTGGGTAAACCTGGTGGATATCTTTATTTTGCTTTTTACAAAAAATCGTGCGGATGTCTTTTTTTCCTCACAACAAAGCCAGCGGATGTCAAGCGGCCTCATTTTTTTTAATTAAAAATGAAACAGAAAATGACGACTCTCAAGTTGTGCTTGTAATCCTTGCCAGCTGGGCCATGCTAGTTAGTCTTCTTCCCCCGAATACAACGTACGGTCATTATAGCTGTATTTAGACTGAAAGATACCCCAAATACAGCTATATAATCACGGAATATATGTTGTATTCGGAGGAAGAAGGTAGTCTTCTCTGAATCGTTTCCCAGTGGTTTTTGACACGTGTCATGTTCTTTGTTTTCTTTCGTATTCTCTCACGACAAGCAGATCGAGATCCAGGTCCAGATCCAGACCTTGTACCAGGACAAGCTGTACTACCAATCGTCGATCGAGATCGAGATCGGGAAATCAAGATCGTTAAGTCGAGATCGAGATCGAGATCGAGATCAGGAATTCGAGATCGAGAAATCCAGAGAGAGAGACAGAGATCAGGAATTCGAGATCATCGAGAAATCCACAGAGAGAGAGAGAGAGAGAGAGAGAGAGAGAGAGAGAGAGAGAGAGAGAGAGAGAGGGATATGGCACGGCGGCTCGGCTGTGGAGCCCACTGCGCTCTTCTCGGAGAGAAGATGGCAACGGCTATGGCGGTCACGATGGCTATGGTGATGCCCGCTTGCTTTCCACTCGAAGGGTCGGCGGTCACGGTGAAGAGGGTGAGCTTTCCCGGACCGGATGGGGTTACTCTTTCTGCCGTTCAGTATGAGCCTGATGCATTCGCCGCTAACGGAATGAGGTATCCCGCCGTTGTGATGATGCACGGCTGCAGCGGCATGTGGTCGTATAGGAATGTAAGCGCCGTGAACAAGGACGGGACCCCTAATTTGCAGAATCATTTGGAGAAATGGGGGTTGAAATTTGCAAGATTAGGGGTCGTGACTTTGGCTGTGGACAGCTTCACTCCTAGGGGTCTGCTTGCCCCCCAGGAGCAGTATCAATGCGGCGGCAACAGCTCAGTCAATCCCTACACGACACGTGTACAGGATGCTCGGCGCGCTTACGAGTACTTGATGGGTCTTTCGGGATCAGGATCTCAACAGGTGGACGGATCCCGGGTCGGGTTGCTTGGCTGGTCTCATGGCGCGCAGGGAACTATGGTCGAGGCCGCGGCTACGCCCCGCGAGGCCGACACCCTGCGACCGGTCGCCGACCGCCGTTTTGTAGCGGTCGTCAGCTTCTACCCCGGATGCGGCACTATGCTTGGGTTCGGAGAGACGGTTCAGGGGAGCTTCTGGAGACCCTACGGCGCGATGCAGCTCCACGTGGGCAGTGCCGATGAGTTCTACGAGAACTGCAAGCTGCGCGCCGAAATCGCGCAGGCGTATCCGTACAATGCTGACCTGGCTTTCCCTGCTTACCCCGCAGCTCCGCACAGCTTCGACGCCTTCTCGCAGACATGGCCGGTGTCTAAATGCGACCAAGAGGGCAATAGTGTCTCCACCTCCACCTCCGCCTCCGCCTCCGGCAATGCTGACAAGCAGGCGCAGGAGTGCGCGATGAGGTCTGCAGACGTAGACGCTCTGGACTTCTTCAAATCCCATCTCGGACTTAAAGACACAGCTGCAATAGAAACAGAAACAGCATCTGCATCTGGGTATGACAAACTCTGAAATAACTGTCCCTCCACAGAGGAGGTTGAAGCCTGAAGGTTGATGGCTATCAATTCACCTGTAGTATGGACTAACTTAAAGGCTATCAACTACAATATCAAGCCCCTATTTCTGTACTTTGTAGGTGAGCCCTGTAGCTCACTGTCATCACAATGGTATGTCTGATTCATCAAACAAACAGTTATAATGTTCAGGGACACTGGACCCGATTTCGAGCAGGTGGTGCTCCCCACCAATAGATGGAGCCTACCCCGGGAATGCTAGCGGTGCCTGGTCTTACCAGCACCCCTAGCATCCGCGAGGACTGTTTAAAACAAAAAATAAAAGAAAGAGTCTGCTGTGCCAGATGGGAGTCCACTGAACCCCTTCATGAAGGCCTGTAATAGCATGTACGTAGCTCCCGAAGTAGCCGGGCTTGTACGCAGTCTGCTTCAACCAGGGCTGAGCAGGGGAGTGGGGCTCCTTGCTTAGTCCGGGTGCCTGCGACCGGTCTGGTCAGGCCACACCCGAGTCCTCCCTTGTGAGAGGTAGCTATGCTTGCAGGGATCCCCTGTATATGCTTAGGAGTGGTGGTAGGTAGGCCAGTGGGGGTCTGGCAATTCAAAGACCGAACATTTTGCCAGTAGCTGCACCTTTTCATCGTCCCGCACCCCCCATCGAGTAGCGGCAGTGTTAAAGCCCAAAAAAAAAAAAAAAAAAAAGCACTCTTCCACAGACCACACACAACCCACTCACTCTCACACTCACACTCACACCTGTGTTGGCCAGACACCCAACTAATAACGACCAGAGGTATCAAGCTGCGGTAGAATGGAGCGGAGACAAGGGAAAGGGACAGTGGGATTTGGAAGAGATGAGAGACTACCGCCTACGTTTTAAGAACTGGACAAACATTGAACCCTCGTTCCCACTCCGCCCCCCCTCGGACTTCCCCGACCCCTTCCCACCCCATGCCCTCTCCCTGGCAGAGATCCTGTCCTGACTGAGGAATTCTGTTACCCCATCTTCTGCTCACTCGTACTCAGATAAGAAATGGCCCTCCGGAGCCCCCCGGGGAGGTTATTCTTTCTTCTGCTAAAATACCCAAAATTTTTCCGTTTCCGTCTCTCCATGTTGCTGCCCAGTTAACCCCCCCTTCTACGGATTGGGGCAGTCAATGCTGGCAGCCTGTCATTGCGGGCAGCTTGAACATTCTGGGTCAGTGAGTAGGGGGGGCTAGTTAAGGGTGGGAGGAATTAGTGTGCAGTTGCAGGTATCTGGCGCCGGCTCCAGGGTTAAGAGGTTCCCCCTCCTCTCTAAGGCCCTGCTCAGTCAATCCCCTGGATTCCAGGGTAATCAATGCTGGCAGGCCCCCTCGCAAACTTTTTCGGATGTATCCCAACATTCAGTTTGTACATGGGACGCTGGACCCGTTTTCCAGCAGGTGATGCCCCCCACCAATAGATGGGGCCTCCCCCCAGGTGCTAGCGGTGTCTGCTCTTATCAGCACCACTGTTTTTTTCTTTTTCTTTTTTTTCTTTTTTTTTTTGTGTGTGTGGTCCGATGGACCACGGATCAGATATTAAACTGATCAGAACAGATACTACACTTGATCTTAGCCAAAAGGCCGAGAAAGGTATATATCAGCACCACTAGCAATGGCAGGGGTGTGTTTTTAAGGGAAAAAAAAAAGAAAAAAAAAGAAAGAAAGGTATCAAGCTGTGCTGCTGCGGTCTCTCGTTTTTTTTTTTTTTTTTTTTTTTTTTTTAAGCCTGAGGATCATGCGGATTCAAACCTGAGTATCCTGAGTGAGCCCTGGCTTTTCCTTCCCTTGAAACCCAAATACCCCCCGCAGTTTTCTTTTTTGGATCCAAGGACCCAGTGTGAATGGACCTACCTCGCTGCGCCCCTCTGGGAGGACGGGTCCATCTCTTCTATCAGCTACAAGAAGTGCAGTGGATGCTCATGGCAGGCCCCCTACATTATTGATTAGGCCTGCGGCTGCACCTTTAACCCCCCGGCTCCACCAGGTTAGTCAATGCTGGCAGCCAAGATCTGAAACCTTCATTTGTCTCAGACCGCGTTAGGGTGAGCGTTATGGCGGGCGGGCGGCCGGCGAGGCACTGGTGGTGTGTGAGTGGCATTGCGCAGGTGAAGCGAGGCGCTGGCTGGTCAGAGGTTGCGAGGTGCTGGCTGGTCGGAGGTTGCGAGGCGCTGGCTTCACGCCAGGGACAAGGTGTTGGCTATGTGGGAGCAGCGAGGTGCTGGCTGCTGGCAGGGAGCGAGGCGCTGGCCAATCCTGGAGAGCGTGGCACTAGCAACGTCGGGGTGGCGAGGCGCTGGCTCTGGGTGACGGGTGGGACGCTATTTGACACATGGCATGGCGCTGATTGTCGCCGTGCGCGAGTGCTGTAATGGGGTAGATTAGATTGGTGATTGCGCTTGACACACGCGTGGTATCCAGATGCGCTTGGCCAATGCCACGTCACAGGCTGACGTGGCATTTGGCCTGAAGCACAAAGGATTGGGGAAAATGGTGGTCGTGGCTACTGTTTGAACTATCTCCCTGACAGTGTGCTTTCCACATGAATTACTCCATAGCCAAGACCTTATAAAAGGCGGGAGAGCTCATGCGAGTTGGCTTAAGCCGACGTCGGTGGAAGAAAGTGGAGTGAGCCCCGTGGAGTCCAAAGTGTGGAGAACGCTGGTCACACCTGAAGAATCATCACAACGCTGCTGGGAGGTCATCATCAGACAAAAAGGGAGGTCTTCAAGCTGGAGGTCATCATCAGACAAAAAGGGAGGTCTTCAAGCTGGAGGTCATCATCAATGAAGCTACTCTCTAGTACTTTCTTTTGTGTGTTTCTCCTCTCTGTATTGTGCAGGTTATTGCCATTCATTGCATCTTCTGCGGCTCGAGATAATCATCTTGTTGCTCGTCTTCATTGTCAGCTTACTCAGAGTACTTCTCGTTATTTTGCCAAGTGCCGATTGTCGACACGTCGTCTGCAGTCTTCACCTTCTTCAACACCTGGCTGCCACATGGATACTGGGTGGTTCTCCATGACAAAGGGTTTCCACCTTCCATTCTTCTAATTACTAATTACTAACTAGAGAGTAGAGTGAGGGCACTCCTACTCTTCCCATACTCATTACCAGACTGAGTACTATTCTTCATATTTTATCATCAGTGCCGGTGCACCGCAATCATCATCGCGGTTTTCTTTTTCTTAAGGTGTGTAAGTTCAATTATTTCCAAGGCGCTTCTCGCCACTCACACCGTTTTTTTTTCCCTCTGCATTGCGTGGCTTCACAAATGTTAAACTGCTCTTTTTCTTCAATAGTATCTTTAATCTGGTGGTATAGCCATTAGGGTGTAACTTACCACTTACCACCTTATTCTAATCTAATCATCATCATCATCATCATCATCATCATCGTCATTATAATCATATCATACTAAGGGCCAGATCCCACTAGCCCCTATTGCTCATTTCTGACCGTTGATCTTCGTAATCGAGGGTGAAAAATGAATAATCCAGGGTAGTGGGATCTGACCCTCAGTCTTGATGTTGAACGATTCCTCCTCAGAAGCTTATGACATAGACGGTAGGATGGATTGAGTAGGGAGAGCTGTTTTCCGCAGGGGAAACACAAGGTGGGAGGTGTTTGCCTTCAGGGAGTAAGGGCAGACAAGAGGGACTGTTACACTCTGGGGCCGGGAGAGATGGAGGGGGGAACATCACCTACTAGCGGTGGCAGAGTGGGACTGAGATAGCTCGAGGAATACCTGGGGGGGGAACAGGTAGCCACGAGGGTAGTAGGGTAGAGGGAGGATCTTCTCTGCTGGGGCTGATGACTGCACCTGTCTCTTATACACATCTAGATGTGTATAAGAGACAGGATCTAATCAGTGGGGGCAGTTAGGGGAGAGGACGTGAGTTAGGTGGGGAAAAAGGTGGAGTGGACTGGGCAGGCATCATCATTATCAATATTATAATCATCATCATCACGTCATCACCAGTTATCACCACTCTTGTTAATCATCATCCTCGTCTTCTTCATCAAGGGTGTTGTTTTGCTCTTCCAAGGTCAGCTATGATGGTTTCAAAAGGTTGGAGGTCAAGTGGAGAAAGCTCTTCTCCACAGAGGCAGCACAAGGAGGGAGGTGCTCGCCTTGTAGGGGTTAAGGGCAGATGAGGGGGACTGCGCTATTGTGGGGCTGGGAGGGACAACAGGGTCACATCATCTCCCCGCGGTGGCAGATTGGGCAGGCGCTGGCTAAAGGTATACCTTTAGGGGGAACTGGTTGCCTTGAGGGATTAATGGCAGTGGAGGGTTTCTTTCTTGTTGGGGCTGATTGGTATTGCCTGTTATCAGGTGATTCTACTCAGCGGCGGCAGTGAGAAGCAAAGAGGGGAGAAAGGAGGGGGAAGAAAGGAGGAGGAGAGAGGAAGGTGAAGCAGCATCAATCGTCATTATCTATCTTCAGCATTGGTCACCCTCCATCACCATGATGGTTATCTGCTTAGGGTTCTTCCATAATCAGATGTCCATTTCCTAGGTGTTATTATTGAATTAGCTTATTTTCAAACTGATAAGTGTTAGTGTAATTGCCTGTGTTGGGTGGACTCCAGATCGACACTGGCCAGTGCTGGGGCATGATCGCTCCGTAACCTGTTTTTAGGAGCTTGAGGCCTGTAGGAGACTGGCGATTGTTGAGGGAGGAAAGCAATCCGATAACTTGACCAATGGCTATATTTCACAACTTAGCTTCGGAATGAGATTGGCTGAATTAGTATGGATACCAGGAATTGGGGAGAGGAAAGAAGTTGGGTTCTACGTAAATGAGCATCCTGATTAGTATTTCCGATTTAGTAATTATCTCCAATCAGTTGCTCATCATTCTCTTTAGCATTATCGTCTTTTTTTTTTTTTTTTTTTTTT